CCTTTGCGTGCTGACCCTATTATGGCGAACTAGGGGGTGATTTGTCCAAGAGATCACCCTAACTCTCCCAAGCTCTTATCTTGATCGAAAATTCAATGCCTTTTCATTAATTCGTGGCTCCTTAAATAGGAGATTACAGAAGGAAATTCCTAATTAAACTCAAACTCCTAATTACCTACTCCTAATGGTAACACAACTCGTATTTAAGATAAGATAAGATAAGATAAGATAAGATAAGATAAGATAAGATGGAGTAGTTGGCGGCGAGTTGGCAGGAAGAGATAAGTGTGGACCCTCCCTGATGAGCTATCGTGTGGGTCCCGCTCTACTGTTGCTGCCGAGCGGCGTGCGCGTCTCACAGTGCTGCTGTCGTGTGGCGCGTGCTGCGCACTACCGGGCGGTGCATGCTGCTGCGCGGCCTGCTGTGCGTGCCGCTGCCTGTGACTGCGCCGCAATGTGCTGTCAGGCGGTGTGTCCATAACATGGCCGAAGTGGAATTGATCCAATTTGGTCGAATTGGGAAATTTCTGAACCAAAGCTAACCTAATGGAAGATTGATTAAATCTCATGGCAAATTATAAGTAATGTTTTAGTAAAATGCTAACTATAGGGTAGATTTTAGTAAATCCATAAAACTATAAGGGGTATTTTAGTGTATCACCCTTTTTAGTATTTAGCTTTCTCTTAATAAATCCCATGCATCGCACAGTCCCCGCTAGTTATTATTAAAAATCAAGTTTTTTAAAGAATATGATTTCTTTATTTATTTAAAAAAAAAACACAGATTCCACAAAGTAAAATGTATTAAACCACCAGCATGTCTCGCCTTTGAGAGAAGCTATTTATTTATTTTCTCATTTTTTATTTTTTAATTCCATGTCATTTTTAAACAACAAATGAGATGCACTTTCCTAATAACCTAAATAATCTCTTCTCCTAAACTACCTCCCCCACTATCCCCCACTATTTCCAAAATTATCTATAATTCCTATTTATCTTTTAAATTATCTCTAACTCCTATTTATGTCCAAAATTCTCTCTAATTTAGTAGAGACTTTATCTCCTAAATTATCTCTAATTCCTATTTACCCTCTCCCATACTTTTTATCTATATCTATCTAAAGAAACTATGGATTAAAAAAAATTAAGAATTATTTAAATATTCTAACAAAATTATAAAATAACTAAAATATTTATTAAAAACACACAAAAAAAAATAATTTTATATTTTTATAAAATATTTCAAAAAATTATGTACTAACAATTTAAATTATGTTTTTATGGATTATCAATTTAAATGTTTTTTAAATTTTTAATAATATGTAATAGCTTTGAATAAAAAAATTCAAATAACAAAAAATTTTAAATATTTTATAGATTATTAAAATATTTAAATAACTAGATTTTAAATAGTTAAAATAACTAAATTATGTAATCAATTTAAAAAAAAAATCTTCAAAGTAGGAAATAATTATAACATAATATTTAAATAAATAATAATTTAATATATTACAGATTTAATAATGAAATTATGKAATCATAGTATAAATTATTATTTTATGGAAAACTAAATTCATTAAATAATTAATATTTTAAAATTTAAATATTTTACATATTATTTAAGCATTTAAATAACAAAATATTTAACATAACTAGATTTCGAATAGATAAAATAAATAAATTTAAAAAAAATCTAAAAATTAGAAAAGTAGTTATAACATAATATTGAAATTAATAATAATTTAATATTTTTACATAATACTATAAATAATTAATTTCACTTATATCAAGTAATAATTATAGAAAATAACTTTCAAAAAAATAATATTTATTAATAATAACTTTAAACTCTTAATCTATATTTATTATATAATTATATATATTAAAATTAATACTTGTTGTCTTTTGTGATAAATGTATTTTCAATAAGTATTTATAAATTTATTTTGGTAAGTTATTTAATAGAAAGGTTTAAATAATTATTGGAGATTACATTACTATTTTTGAAAATTTTAAAATTAATTTATTGTACTTATTGTGTTTTTGTTATAAGTTATTGATTAATATTTAGTATAGATTAAACTATTATTTGAGATTATACTATTTATCGACTAAGTTAATATATTTTTAGTACTTATTGTATTTTTGTAATTATTGTAGTTTTCATTATCAATATATTTTCAATAATTGTGTTTTTTTCCTGTAAATTTTCAATAATTATGGGAGATTAAACTATTGTTATTTATTAGAGATAAGACTATTAAGTTCGCTGAAATTCTGAGTATTCATGAGTTGGTTTGGTGTAGTCGTAAGCTATTTGACCAACCAAATTGACCTGGTCAGGTTTAGGGAGTTGGTTAGTTGAAACCAATTAAACTTTTGTAAAAATCGACCCACTCAAGTTGTATTGGTTTGGTCAATCTGTTCAAAAAATTTAAACTTAAAAATTTAATTTAATTTTAAAAATTACAGTGTGATTATTAAATAATAAATTTAAAAATTAGATTTATGATATAAAACATTTTAGACTAAGAAATATGGGAAAATTCTCACTTTTTCATATTAAAAATTATATTTAAAATATAAAATATTAATATATATCCATGGTTAGGTCGTTCGATTTTGGTCGGTTTACAAATGGCCAAAGTGGAACTGATCTAACTTGATCAAATTGGGAAATTTTTGAACCAAAACCAACATAGAATACTAGAAAACCGACCAACTCAGGTCGAATTAATTGGATTGGTTGGTTTCATTAGTTTGATAAATAAACCTAATTGAAATTAATTATTGTTATTTCTATATTATTAAAATTTTATTAAAAGTAGTATATAAAATATGAAAACAATTGTATACTCTTATGTGTTTYTATTAGGGTCATTTATTAGAACACACTTTTAGGGATGACAATTTTCCCCATCCCCGACGGGGACTTAACTTCCCCGACCCAATGGGGCTGGGGATGGGGATTGTTTTGGCGGGGTAGGGGTGAGGACGAGGATTAATAGGAATCTCCGATCGAGGTCGGGGTTGGGGATGGGGATGGGAATTGAGGTCCAAGCCCCACCCCGACCTCTATGTGTGTGTATTAAATGTTATTTATATTAAATATACTATTATATTATTTATATATTATATATATCAAAACATATGTAAAACATTATTTATAATTTAAAATTTTTATTTATTTTAAAAAATACTATTATCTAAAAATATTTTGGGGATTTGGGTCCCCATGAGGAACCCATCCCCGTCAGGGAACGGGGATGGGGGTTAATTTTAGAATTGAGGTTGGGGCCTTAGGTCCACGATTTCATTAAGCATGTTTGTTTTGCCCTTAGGCCCATGATTTTTTATTCTAAAAATACTCCTAACAATTTTTTTGTATAAAAAACAAAATTGAACAAATGTAGCCAAGTGGTTGCCCAAGTCTTATTAAGGGAAAAATGATACTTTTATTTTTATTTTCTTTTGATTAAATTTATTTAAATGAACATTAGGTCAACACTGTTATTTTCCCGGAAGATTGATTAAATCTATTATAAATTATAAGTGGTGTTTTAGTAAAATACTAACTATAAGGTATATTTTAGTAAATCCATAAAATTATAAGGGGTATTTTAGTATATGACTTTTTATTTTTTACTTTTCTCTTCATAAATCCCTTACATGCACGGATCCCCGCTAGTTATCTATAAAAAGAAGCCCATGTTTACAACGAACTGTGAGTTTTGGATATTATTAATCAATAAAAAAAAACGAGTTTAGGATGTTTTAGTAATTTTACAAAAAGGCAATTTTGTAGTTTCGGTTGAAAACGGAGGGTATGAGTTTATTTGCGCTGGAGCTATATGTGTGAGTTAAATCGCATATCTTTAGGGTTGAGGATTAGGGTTTTTTGCACTCAGAGTCGTCTTCGTGCTCTGCTTCAGAGGCTACCCTAGAAACCTCATCTCCATTGACAATGGCGGTCGGGTACATCCCTTTTGTCATTTCTTCCTGCGTTTTACAGTCTTTACTTGCAGCTATTGAGCTTGGTTTATTCGGTTTTGTTTGTTTTTCTCTCTAACAGGAAGAACAAGAGGATATCGAAAGGAAAGAAGGGAGGAAAGAAGAAGGCGTGAGTTGAATAAAACTTTAGAAACTGTAGATTGACGTTGTAATATTTCTTATTGCGATTTTATTTGGTTTTGATTTCATCTTACAGAGTCGACCCCTTCGCCAAGAAGGATTGGTATGACATCAAGGCACCTTCGATCTTCACTACCAGAAATGTTGGGAAGACCCTCGTTACTAGAACTCAGGGAACCAAGGTCATTTTTTCTTTCCTTTTACATCTGATAATTTTTCATCATTGGGTGCTTTTGTTCTGAAATCTTTAAATATTTTGTACGAGTCTCCATGCTAGAATTAAAGAATTTGGTGCAAGAGCACCAAGAATCTGCTGACGAAAGCTTTAGTAATTAGAAGCATATAAATGATAAAGCAATGATGGTATATACTTTTTAATCTTTTCAGCCTTACATATTTCTTCCCTTGTCCTTGGTTCTTTCCGTATGCTACTCGATGATGTAGTAGTTTTTTAAGATCTCAACTTGAATATATTTTAGATAGAGTTTTAATGAAATAATTAAGAAACACCTATAGTCTCTACTGCGATTTGGTAAATATAGATGTAGGCGGTTCTGTTACTCTCCATTATCTCTTTGTTGTGAGAATAACTGTTGTGCATCACGGGTTTCATTAACCATCCACCATGACTTGATATCTGCCGGACAATTTAGACATGCTTGTGCTTGTGAGCCAAGCTTTCATGACACTTTGTTAGAGCTGCTACTTGTTTACAATTAACTTTCCTGGGCTGTAGCAAGCCTAAAAGGGGCAAATAATAATTTAGATGTCAAATATTGGAGCCATAATATTAGGCCTATGGGAATTTATTTCTACTTTTTTGTGGATGTGTTCTACGAATTGCTCTATGAGAGATCTTTGAAATGTGAAAATTTCTTATTCTTCTTGTTGACATTTGCTGTTGCCCTAGAAGTTTATTAAAAATGTGACCAGGGGTTGGCATTATACATTCACTTTTTGGAAATTTGTATTCAGTGGTTGGTCATGCCTATCATGGTTGCTGGTTTCTTTTTTGATAATTAACAGAATCAAAAAAGTTTCATAAATAATGAATTAAAAGATAACCCTTTTGCTATTTTGGTTCTAAAAATCTTTGTAGCTAGCTTCCTGGACTTCCATATTTGCAGTTCTTTTTCCTCTGCAGTCATTTCTGACAAGATTGTAAAAATGGGAAGTCCCGTTTCACTTCCTAGCACAGCTCAGAGCCCAAGTCTCAACTTTGGTTGTTGACTACAGTATGCACAATAATTAATATTTGTTTTCTTTTTCTCCTGTTTTTATGTGCTTTTGGAAGAGTATGACATCTGCCATTTACACAGGCAGSATGTAGTCTTACAATTTTCTTTTATCTCTACAGATTGCTTCTGAAGGACTCAAACACCGAGTGTTTGAGATTTCCCTTGCTGATCTGCAGGCTGATGATGACCAGTCCTACAGGAAGATCCGGCTGAGGGCTGAGGATGTCCAAGGAAGGAATGTGCTTACTAACTTTTGGGTAAATATAAGCATTTGTGGTTTCATTTATAACTAATTTGTTCTAGGAGATTGATAAATAATAAGATTCTAACAGAGTTAGGATAATTCAGGGGATGAATTTCACCACAGATAAGTTGAGGTCTTTGGTGCGAAAGTGGCAGACATTGATCGAGGCCCATGTGGATGTCAAGACAACAGACAACTACACCCTAAGGATGTTCTGCATTGGATTCACCAAGAGACGTCCTAACCAGGTCAAACGGACCTGTTACGCACAATCCAGCCAGATTCGACAGGTAGATTTAATATTTAAGAGTGCTTGTTTTCTCCTACAGATTTCGTGGTTATTGCATGTTTGCAATGAAGACTTAGTTGTGGTTTGCATTTGTTTCTTGTCTCATATCACAGTTTTTTTTCATAATCAATCGTCACAAGGGCTGCATATTCATCTAGTGTCTTTGCCCACCTTGCATGTGTAACAAGATTGATGTCATGCCTATTCATATTTTTCAGATCCGCCGTAAGATGAGAGAAATCATGGTAAACCAGGCAACTTCTTGCGATCTTAAGGAATTAGTGCAGAAATTCATACCCGAGGTGATTGGAAAGGAGATTGAAAAGGCCACCTCAAGCATTTATCCCCTACAAAATGTCTTCATTCGTAAAGTCAAGATCTTGAAGGCTCCCAAATTTGATCTTGGCAAGTTGATGGAGGTATGTCTCTCGAACCTTTTCACATATTGTTTTGCAATTTTAAGGGATTAGTTGTGGCATAATTCTCGAAGATGAGAAGACATGCTTGCACTTGGACTTGTAAAACTGGGAAAACTTTTCATTGGAATTTCTATAGGTGCCTACTTGCTTTCAGGTCAAATTAAGTTGGAGAGAGTGATTGTTATGTAACTCTTTTCAAGGAAAAACACCATGATTTGTAGGGAGCATACTAATCTAATAGTAGTTAGCTCGAATCCAAATAAGCAAATAATGTATTTTGAGTCTTCGACCAAAACATCGAGACTGAGTGTATGGCAGGAAATGCATATCAAAACAAAAGCAAGTACAAAATCCTGGAAGAGACATGAAAAACTGAAAAATGTTTTTGTAGAAAAGATATAGTTTAACCCCTTTATTGGTACTTTAGGCAATGTTTTGTTTGATGGAAAAGGCAAGGAAAGGAAGGGAAAGGTAAGGAAACCTTTACAAAACTGCCTCATCAATTTACTGTGTAGGTCAGTCCAGGATACTGCTGCATCAATTTTATTACGTCTGTGTCTACTTTCACAGAAAGGGTTTACCATGTTCTGCTGTACTGCTGATGGTGACTCTGAACCAATTTTGGTTGTCATTACAGGTTCATGGTGACTATTCGGAAGATGTTGGTGTGAAAATGGAGAGGCCAGCAGACGACCAGATTGCAGAAGGGGAGACTGAGGTCGTTGGAGCATAAATGGAGGGTTTTTACAATATGTTTTCTTTTTAAGATTTCTTCAATWCCCAATGTCTTTCAGATCCCTTCTCTTAAAGAGATGTTAATTAGAGACTTTTCCTATTTAGAATTTTTGAGTAGATTGTGAGAAGTAATGCGGTTTTGACTTGAGAATGTGTACCTTAAATCTCATAGAGATGTTTATTTTAAATGCTTCCGATTTTTTTTTTTTTAATTTTCTTTGTTTTTCCATAGTTGAACAAAAAGTCGAGGGCCTCGACTTAATGAAATGTTTTATCATTTGATTTTTAAAGTACATTATTTTAACAAAAGCCCAGAAGTAACTGTTGTGGATTGACAAGGATGTAATCTTCCATTGCTACGAGGATAGTCTCCACTCCAACACAAAAGGTGGTAGAACACTCGCTCCCATGTCCCTGAGGCTCAGTTTGGAAAGAGTACAAATGCAAATATGTACAGTATAAATACATACAAAATAGTATAAAATACAAGTTCTGCACTCTACTTATTTGCATATGTACTATTACCAAACTGAGCATAGTGACATCTATTGCGAGTTTTAATGCTGGTATTGAGCTTCTGGTTCAAATGTGCTATTTCAGTTCCCTAATTTGGAATCCCCTTTGCCCTTTAAGAAGACAGCTCTACTGAAGGTGAAGCTTCCACGCCCATCATTCATCTTCACAGTTGGGCCATTATAAGACATTTAAGGGTTAGGCAGCATGGTGTGGGTCTGATGTGTAGAGTGTGGGCCCCAGAATGTGCCTATATACGGAGTCAGGCCTATTAGTTGCCAATTTCCACCTTCCAATGTTTCAAGCATCTGGGCCAGCGGCTGAGTGGTTTCCAAGTAGTAATAGAGGTTACAGAGATTTTACTTGTAATCCTCTGTAGAAGCTGATTATTGGCCGGTGCCAGGAAGATATTGGAAGTTGAAAGTTGAAACTGTCATGGGACTTGACTTTTTATATGGCTTATTGGGTATGGTCTAGAGATTACGAGTCTTGATTAAAAAAATAAAAGAAAAGAAGATGAAGACTGTATTTGGTATTCCTTATTTTAAGGACTTATCCCCTTTTTAGTTAAAAATCGGTTGTTAATAAGGGCATTTTAACAGTTAAAAGGGTAAGTCCTTGAAATAAGGAATGTCATCTGCAGCTGAGGGGCTAATCTTGGTTCCAGGGAAACACGATGTGAGTACTTGAGTGTAAATACTGTTTTACCCTCACTTGTCATTCGCTTGGCTTGGGCATTTAGGAGGGTGTTAAGGATTTAAGTGGAGGCTTGGCTTTGGGCTGTATGGTCATTAAAATGGACCGTCCAAAACACACGGACCAAAATTCACATGAAGGGAGACAACATGGCACTGATTATAGATAGTGTTATGGAAAGCTGTAAGCAAGCCCATATCTGCTGTTGTGAACGGCGAACTGAACAAAACTCAGTATACAGAAGTGCAGATAGGGCAGCAGATCATGTAGCCATCTCATCTGGGGCATGGACATGGAGGCCAGAACCTGGAAACAACCTCCCATATCACCAACGAAGGGAACATATGAAGGAAGTATTGATGACAAGACCAAATAACCTAAATTCCTTCTCGAACTCCTAAAAGAAGAAAGAACACAAAAAATCGAGATGTTAATGACTTTGATGCGATTGTGTCCACTGTCCTCTCTGAAATTCATGCCATATGAAAAAGCCGCTTTTGATTAGATAGATCAGGCTGGCATATACAATTTCTCTACACTAAAGATGGCTCATGCCATGGGCTCTCTCTAGGAGGTATAAAATATTCAGTCAGAGATTAGACTTAATTCCCTTATCATCCCTTATCATCCCTTAGTCCTAACACATGCACAAAATGGAGTCTTTTGCCCGTGGCCACCCTGTCCTTGTCCTCCTCCACCATACAGATAATCTCTCAACAGAACTCTCACTCTTCTGTCACTGTGTCTACTTTTTCCCTTTCTCTCCTTCTCCTCGTCAAGTTTCAACAGAAGAAAGTGGATCCTCTGCAACTCCAACTGCAATCGACTAATCTTTTCAGACCCTCGTCGTGCCTGCTCCGTGATTCTCCTCCTCCGTATCTTCGCCTTCTCTTCCAACTCTGGCGCAGCTTTCCCCTCCAAGGATGAAAGGCTCTCCTCCGCATTCTTCGTCAATTTTCCATTGATCTCGACCAACCGTCTGATGGACTCATCAATACCTTGCAGCTCTTCTTTCACGGTGTCGTACTCGGTAACCTTTGCATCCTTGTTCTTCCTGGATGCCTCTGCCTTCTTTTTCATTTCTTGCACTGTTATCTGTAGATTCGTTAACTTTTGGGCATCTGAAGCAAGTCTCGCCAGGATTTTCTTCTTGTTTCCTTGTTGCCGTGGCTGTGCTATTTTCTTGGCTACCTCTAGCTTGTCAACACCCAACTCCTTTTCAGCTTGCAAATACTCCCTCCTCTGCTCTTCTGCTGACTCTGCCTGATGGTACTCTGTGCCACCCTCCATACAAGACATCAGCTTGGATGTGCTTTTGACTGCTGGCTCGAGGCTACAGTCCATTTCAGCAGTTTCCCATAACTCGAGCATCTCGTCATCTGTCTCACCAATTCCTCTCCTGCTTGCCCCATGTGGACCACCTCCAAGATCATAGGACGAACAGTCAGAAGTCTGATCAAGTTGAATATCTTTCATTATTAGTCCATCCTTAAATTTTGATATTTCAGGTTGGGTTTTCTGAAACTTGACAACATCGTTGCCCTCATCCATGCTTTCATTTTGTGGTCGCATCACAATGCCTTCTCCTGTTCGATAATTTTCTCGGAGGTCACTGCTTTCAGATTTTAGTTCCTCACACTCTTTGATTTCTGCCTTTAGTTTAATTTTGCTGCTTGAGCTTTCCATCAATACAAGCCTTTCCATTTCTATTACGGCCTTTTCAATTGCTTTAACCTTAAACTGCAGCTCTTGCAAGTCTGAAACTCCATCTGGTACAGCAGCACTTTGATCTTCACTTGGCTCTTGATGGCCCGTTTCATGAATCTGAGTTGTGAGTTCAGCATCCTGGAAAATTGTGTATACAATGTAAGCCATGGGGGTAAGTGAAAATGAACCACATACAATATCTACATAGAAACTCTGAAGAAGTTAGAAACATCTCATTAGGCCACCTGAAGTTAAGGCATACAACTAATTTCTAGCCTCCAATGAGTTTTAACCATGTGCTAGGAACATCTAAACAAGATAAAAAAAGGCAGCCCAGTGCACGGGGCTCCCCCAATGAGGGGTCTGGGGAGGGACAGATGTACACAACCTTACCCTTGCACATACAGAGGCTGTTTCCAACATTGGAACACCCTAGTAACCCATGTCCCAATGGAGCAACCCAACCATTGCACCAAGGCCCACCCTCAACATCAAAACAACATGGAATTGCTAATTAATAATGTTCAGGAATGTATATAAGAACGGCTATCGGCATGTGAATGAATTTCCAATGTGGTTGAAGGCCGATGTTACCAAAATTGCAGTAAGCCCTAATGTAATGGGCGATGCTTAAGTAACATATTCAATCTACTACATACAAAATATGGTTCCTCTTTTTTCTTTCTCTAAATACATGACATGTTCAGGGAAGAAACTATTGTCCAGAACATTCCATGCAGCCAGCTAAAGGTACCATGAAATGCCTAAATCACACAGGTTCCAAAGAGAAGAGGCAAATGCTCAGGTGACAATTAATTTTATCTATTTAATACAACATGTGAAGACAGACAGTCAGACAGGTGGATTTTCCCTTTATTTCTTTAATGCATAATATGCTAATGCAAGCATGCCATGTGTATATAACATCTAATAATTGGAAAGAGCCATATTGTGGTTTGTCCCTTCCTGGAATTGGTTTTGCATGGTATTTACCTTTCCTAGTGGTGTATTCAAATTATTTTCATGTGTGTGTCCACATGAGTGTGTGTGCCTGTGTGTGTGTGCGCTTAAGTGGAAGTCAGTGGCTAGAAAATGCCTTGACTAGCCTGGTAGTTTCCAGTCCATTGTAGAACTCAACTCAATATGGAAACCTAGACAGATGCACTTGCCAGTCAGGCAAGTACTTAGATGGCTTAAAATAAATGCTTTATTACTTCAGACTCAGCATTACTTTTGGACTTTTCCCAGATCATGCAATGATTCAACCGAGACTCTAATCAATTAATTGAGACCAGAAAGAGCCCCCTCCCCGGGTTTGTGTAATCTGTTTTCCTTGAGAGAGAGAGAGAGAGAGAGAGTCAAATCAAGTTTTTCTAAACGATATACATCTTTCAAGCTTAAAAGAGACCATATTAATCTCACACCAGATTAAGTTGACTCAGCTAACCATGGTTTGAACTGACTGAATGTCTAAACATGAGATAAAGTTTATTACCATCCTGTGAGAAACATACCTTTGGTTCCTGACTATCTGATATAAAGGTTTTTTTCCAAAAAATGGCATGCTCTTCAAGAGAAGCTATAGTATCTCTCAGAGAAAGCATGACAGGAAAATATGCAGCCAACTCAGCTGTCAGTCTTCCATTTTGCCTTTCCAAGACACCAATTCTTTCTTTCAGCAGTTCAATCTCCATACTTTTAGAAGAACTTTCACTTTCAAGGGCCTCACATGCTGCAATAAGCTCTAGAACCTTATCTTTAAAAAGAGCTTCGTGGATACTAGAAATCAGCAGGCCATCATAGAATGCTGTGGCCTCAGCTTCCTGGAATTCAATCTCATTTCTTCTCTCTTGCAGGTCGTGACGCATACACTCTTCTCTGCTCCTGAGTGCTATTACTTCTCCATGTAATTTACCCAGATCAAATTCAAGCTTCTGATTTGCTTCACGAAGGCACACTATCTCCTTGTTCTGATGGATGTTATCTGTAGATAGCTCAAGAATAAGCTTATGTTGCTCTCCCATTATCACCTTTCCCTCATCCTTTTCCTTCTTCAGATCCTCAATATCCCTATGTAACTCTACATTCTTGCTCTGCATAAATGTGACATTCTGTTCTGCATCTAAAAGCTCCATTTCTTTCTGACAGAGCAGATCTTTTCCAGTTGCAATTTGATGACTTAACTTGTCAGTCATATTCTTGACTCTGCTCAGCTCAGTCTCCAACTTCTCAACTGATTCTTTGAGAAAGAAATTTTCTTTTTGGGCAATTACCAACTTCTCTGCCATTTCTCTAACTTCCTTCTCTAGGTCATTGTTAACCCCAGTAAGACAGTCCAGATCTTCACTAAGCCCTTTTAATTCCACACTTCTCTCAGTGCCAAAAGTCTCAAAAATCAAAGAGAGATTACCCAAAGCCATTGCTTCATAGAGGATAGCATTGTTTTCCTCTTCTAGCATGCACATCTTGTCCTTCAACTCTGACAACTCCTTCCTCAAAGAGCTGTTTCCTTCAAGCAACTTGTAATTTTCTTTATGTGATCCATGGTAAGAGTCATGCAAATCTGAAAGCTTTGCCTGTAGACTCTCAATCTCAGCTTTCAGGAATACCTCCTGGTGCTTCTTTGCCTTCACCTCCAGTTTCAACTCTCCAATTATCTCCAGGAGCTCATGTTTCTTATTTTGCAGCATCAGTAGCTCCTCTGATTTGATTTTGAAATCCTGTTCAAGGACAGTCTTTTCTGAGCCAAGATCTGCTACATCTGATATCAGTTGCCCTAGCAGAGTTACCAGAACTGATTTTTCAAGTAGAATCTGTAGCTTCTCATCCTCAGTTTGCAGAAGAGTACTTCTCATGCTTCTAATTCTTCCTAGAACATGCTTCAGATTCATGTGCTCTTCTTTGATAATATCTTGACACGTATCATCCAAATCAATTTCAAGTGACTTCAAGACCTGATGAATCCCTGTTCTGAGCTTCTGGGTTTGGTCAAACAAGAATCTTGATTCTACCTGAAGCTTGAGATTTTTGTGCTCCAATTCAGAAATCAGATTATCTGAAAACTTGGATTTCTCGAAATACTTCTGACACTCAATTAACAGAGAGAAATATTTTTCTTCCATATCTGTAATAAACCTCTGCAAGATGAAGATCTCAACTTGAGCCTCCATGGATTTTTCCTCTTCTTCTTCAAATTCCTTCTTCCTCCTCTGGCCTTCTTCTTGTAGGAGAAAGATCTGTCTTTCCAGAGCAGCCAACCTGGTCTCACTGGATTGGGTAAAGCTTGCACGTTCTTGTTTTTCTATATCCAAGGAGAACTGTAACTCTTCCACTTCACAAAGTGTGCTGTCTTTCTCCTCTTCCAGAGTCAAGTATTTTTCTTCTAATTCTGCTTGTCTTTCCTCCAGGTCCTTCAATCTTAGCTGAATAATTTCCAACTGAGAATTCAAAGCATCTCTTTCAGTAAGAAGGATGGACTTCTCATTGTCAAGAGATCGGCAGGATTCCTCTAAGCTCTTTGCTTTTGCCTTCAAGCCTTCAAGTTCAATATTTGCATCAGAAAAGGAACTCTCAAGTAAGGCATTATTCTCTGCAAGCTTCTTCATGCTCTCCACCATAATATCTACTTGGGTAACCAGGCTGGTCTTCTCAACAGAAAGAGAGGAATTTTCTCCCTCAAGCAAGCAGGATGCTTCTTCTAATACCTTGACTTTCTCTCTTAGTCCTTCCAACTCGGCATTCAAACCTGCCAGGGAATTTTCTAGAAGGGCATTCTTCTCCAAAAGATTTTCCATGCCTTCCATTTTTTCCAGAAGAGTCGCTTTCTCATCTTTGTCCTTCTGGCAGATTTCTTTCAGTTTTGCATTCTCACCCAGCAAGTCCATAACAAATGATCCAATGTGCTCTGGATTCAAACCCACCGAAATCACTTGCTCCATTATAACTTGGTACCTCCTGTTCAAGTCTTTTATTTCCTCTTTAAGACAGTAAATCTCTTTCTGAAGAACATTTTTTTGGTCCAAGCAGAGATCAACCTCCACTTCAAGTTTTGTTTTTGTCTCCTTCAAGCTAAAATTCTCATCCTGCAGGTTCTTTACTGAGACAGCAGAGGATAAGTTCTGTTCCTTCAGGTTTGTGTTTTCCTCCCTAACTTGTTTGATTTCGTCTTCCAATCCCCGCTTCTGGAACTCCATGGCCTTCAACATCTGAATCATATTTTGGAGATCTGATGTCAAAACTTTCTGTTCTTCCTGAAACTCAGCATGTAAATTCTGCAGAGTATGGAGTGTGTCTTCAGCCTGGAGGAAATGCAAGTGCTCTTCTTGAATGCAAGTCTGGAGTCTCTCCAACTTCTCATGCTTCTCCAGAAGTTCTTGATTCTGGTTCCTGACTTTCTTCACCAAATTGTCCACTTCCATCTGTAAAGCTTGCTTTTCTCTCTTCAACAGAATACATTGTTCTTCTATGCTGTTTAATTTTTTGACCTTCATCTCTACCTCATTGTTAAGCTTCCTGGCCTCCTCTTGTGAATGAGAGAGTTCAGCCTCCAGATTAGATATTTTCTCCAAGCACTGCTGGTACTGTAGAGTAGCAGCTTCCTTCTCCAGATCTAATTTGGCAAGATCTTGCTTTAGTGATTGAACTTCAGTTTCAGTTTTATTAGCTTGATGAATAAGCTTTATGGCGTCCTCCTCGGCATGAGAAATTTTGATCTCTAGGTTAGATATTGTGTCCAAGGACTCCTTGTATTGAAATAAAGTTAATTCCTTTTCAGCTTCTAATCTAGTAAGGGCTTCTTTAAGGATTTGAGATTCAATTTCGGCTTTACTTGTCCGTTCATTAAGTGTTCTGGATTCCTCTTCTGCATAAGAGATTTTGGTCTCAAGACTAGATATCTTCTCCAGACACTGTTGATTCTGAACAACACAAGCTTCCTTTTCAACTGCTAATTTATCAAGAGCTTGCTTCAGGGTTTGAACTTCAGTTTCTGCTTTACAAGCTCGTTCATGGAATCCTGTGGCATCATCTTTTGCACGAGAGATTTCATTCTCCAAAATAGATAACCTCTCCAAACTCTGTTGGTATTGAAGAAGGTCAACTTCCTTTTCACTTTCTAGTTTTGCAAGGACTCCCTTGAGTGTTTGAACCTCAGTTTCAGCTTTACTTGCTTGTTCAGACTCAAACATGGCCTGGTTCTCAGTTGACAACTGAAACACCCTCTCTTGCAGACTGACTTCTTGTTCTTCAACCTCATGAAAGTTTAGGCCCCTTCTTGCTCTTCCTTCAGAAAACTTTGCTTGGTGTTTTGCCACTTCATCCGGTCCAAACATCTCATTGAGCTGTTTCAACCCCTTTTTGCTGGTTACAGAATCAGATTCTTCAGAACAAGCACCATTCCTATTTATGGCATGGAAATGGGACGACGAGAGCCCCAAAGAATCCTTCTGCAAATCATCAGGATCAAGCAATGCACGTATTGGATGTGGCATCTCAGGTGTGTGAGGCTCAGTCACAGTGGTGGAAGAGCCTGCAGGTGAATCATCAGCCAGCATGAAGGGAACTTGGTTGGGGAATGCTTCTGCCATGGTCTTATGAGCATGGTGGAGCACCCCTGTCGCATGATTATATCTTTCTGCTAAAGCACGGTATGCTCGGTAAAACTCTTCAACCAGTTGCATAAGCTCTGGGCGTTTCTTGTAGTACATCTCTGCCCTCCTTGCAAAGGAATCTGCATCTTCTTCAATGAGTTTGATCATTGCTTTGACCTTGGAATCCATGTCTGTTGAAATAAAACAAACATCATCAATCAGATTTGTTCAAACAAAATATACAGCACCAACCAATCCCATAACTACCTTAGCAGTTAGTTAGATACCAACCAGACACAAAACATAAGCTAACACGATCAGAAGTTACATTATTGCAGATTCACAACGTATAAAACATGTCTTCAGGTCCCTTTGCAGGAAGATGCAATGCATTTATGCATCATATCAATCAAGCCAAACAATGCCTTCAGACACCTTTACAGGAATATGTAATATGTAATATGTAATGTCCAGCATAATGAGACATTGTGTAACAGGCACTCTGAACGATACACACTGCATTGAGTTCCCCAGGCATGCACATGGGAACATTCTACTTTTCACATCAATAGGCCATCTCCTGAATTTCATCATTACGATCAAGCGATCCAAGATGACATGCATATCCAAAGTTCTAGACCCATTTACTTGTAGCTATTAACCCAAGTGTGGAAAATTTTCACAAAGGGTAAGGTGGAGAAGATGGTTAAAGCTCCAATTCAAGTAACTTATGAGTTCTGAGCCACATTCAAATACATGGGCTGTTCCATAACTTGACAGCATATACCAATCAACATGTGCTCCATGCGTATGACAATATTAGGATCACCATATGGTCTAGAACATGGTTTTCAAAACCTGATCAGACTGGACAGTCGGACCGGAAAAACTGGGAACTGGTCAGGTAATCGGTCCTGTTTTACCCCAGAACCATTATTTCCCCCAAAATCGTTGATTTGGTCAGCAAACCATTGACCCGGGTGGTCGAATCGTTCAACGGTTTGGCCAGTTTTTATTTTTTTTGTCAGAACGAGCCACCCATTCTGTTCGAATGGTTGGACTATTCGACCCAGGAACCGGACCCCTGACCGGTTAATTGTCCGACTCGGTTTTAAAAACCTTGGTCTAGAATTAATCTTATAAGAAAGAATGAGAAAGATGCATACCAAGTGTGCCAAGCACCCCTTCTAGCCTAGCATTTCTATAAATAAAAATGTGCCTCATGCTTTGTTTTCAGTAAAGAAATGATTCGTAAAGACAAACAACCGAAAAGAAAGAATATTTTATCAAAACTACGGAGAAGATCAGCAAATGGTGATTTATTCTTTTCAGCCTTTCAGGTAGTTAGTATAAGAAAGCATTAAAAAAAAACTAGCATCCAAATAACAAGCTGATCCCTAAAAATGTTTCCCTGTTACTGTTTCGAAAGAATGTATTTCATCAACTGCAGTACAAATGATAGTGCTTGTTTACTTCGTCTCTCCCTATGAAGTAATATGGACAATTTATTAAAAGGAAATAGGAAAGGAAAAGATCATACCCGAATTCTGGCTAATCGATATCCTCGAAGGAAGACAAGAAAATTTATAATAGAAAAACCACTCTCCGAAATGAAGTTTGTCCATAAATATCCCACTCTTGCCAGGTGAACCTGCATTTTATTTCTTATTCTTAGATTATGAATCTGCATCTCTTTCATCAAGTTCCTTTCTTGTTAGAAATACTTGTCTGCATCCCTTGGTTTATAGAAAAGGCCATTGAATAGACTGGATATAGTCCTTACCTTGCCCTTTTTTTCACTCAAACTCGAACATGGTTCTCCTTGCCTGCCCGAGATTTTATCATTACACCACCAAGTAATAGCCCCTATCCCTTGGTAGTATCAATGGTTAATTATTATTCCCCTTACTACCTAATGACACCATGTACTTGGTACCAAGGGGCAATTATATACGCCTATTATTTATTTTGTTTGAGATTAATTCGATTTGGGTTTCTTATTTAATTCAAAAAAGTAAATCAGGTTTAATTGTAATTAATTACTTATTTCTAAGGGTGGATTTGAGCCGAGCCGAATAGTACGAGGCTCGAGTTCGGCTCGCCAAGGTAGTACAAGGCTTGAATCGAGGTCAAACTCAGTTCGGGCTAGAACCTTGAATTAGAGCTCGGCTCAAGTCAAAAACTCGTAAGCTCAAGCTCAATTTGAGAAAAAAATATTTTATAAAAATTTAAAATTATATATATAATATTTTTTATTTGATATTTAAAAAAGTAAGAATTATAATAATTAGTTATTATTATATATAAAAATAAAAATGTTATATATACTATTTTTATTATATATTATTTTCTATAATTATATATATAGCTATTCGAGCTCGATTCGATCAACAAACAAGCCTATAAATTGGGCTCGAGCTTGATTGAAATCGAGCTGAGTCGAGCTTGAGTAGCTCATGAAGAGCTCGGCTCGTGGCCACCCCTACTTATTTCATTTGAGAAAATGAGACTCACACCATTGAAGGCCTTTATAAATCATTTAGAAAGGTTAATATAAATTTCACATCATTTGAATTTTGAAGTGGATAATTGTTTTTTTTAACAGGTAGTCACATGTCTAAAGAAGGGTTGATCATGGGCCAAGCTGAGCCAGGCTTTTCACCTATGATAAGGGCTTTAGCTTAGACTTGGGCTTGGACTAGACTGGGTTCTAGGCTTGAAACACTTGCAAGCCCAACACAGGCTGGGCCTAGCCTAATTCTACCCTATCATGCAGAGTGAAAGTTTTTTTTGGAATAAAAATACATTTTATTTATTTATTTTTGAGAAAGGGTATAAAAGTCATTTATTATAGTTTTAATGCCATCTTTATGACTACTAAAATCTCATATTTGTGTATTTAGTCCATATCTAATTTGTAAGGGTAGAAAATGTAACTTCAATTATTACTTTCCACCTCATTTTTTCCCCTCTTGTTAACTAATRCTTAAGTTATTAACTCCCATTTTCTCTTATTAAATCTTATATTTAAGTTATTTTTCACTAATAAGTGCTACTAATTTGCTCTATGTCAAATATTTTTAACAATATAAACCCATATATTTTGAAACTAAATAAAACAAAACCATTATTTATCCAAGTGGTGGCTAAGCAATTCAAGCATACGAATCAAATTGATTAACCTATGAAGTCATAGCTAGGTAATAAATTTTTTAAAATAAAAATAAATATAGAAATTACAAAAAAATGTAGAAAAAATAGGCACATTTATGGTATTTTATTAATCAAATTAAAAAAAAATAAGTGTAATAAACAAGAATTACTTTTATTGATAATGAAAATGAAATACATAATTTAAAGCTGACCAAAAATGAAATTATGTTACTGTTTGGGAAAGATCAATAATTCWACTTTTGGGTCAAATGTGTTAACATTTAATGTCTTAAATAAATAATAAAAATTAATAAAATATAAAAATAAAAAAATACATAAATTTTGCAAAAAAAAGAGCATTTAGGCACATGTACAATATCATATATTTATAATATTAAATAAAAAATAAGTGTGACATATCAAAATTATTTTTACACACATAAATAAAAAATATAGAAAAATTGAACACATCTATAATTCTATATCTACAATACTATTAAAAATATGAATAAGATTGTGGAACTTTTTTTTGACTAAAATACTCATTTTTGAATTTAGCCACTATTTAATTGTCAAGTTTAAATTATAAATTGAACTACTAATTTTCACTTCATTCAATTCTCTCTATTTAAATCTTACATTTTTTTATAAATGAATAAAAAAAGCTAAACAAAAAAGATAAAACATTACAAAAGAAGAGTCTAGAAAAGCAAGTAGGCCTATCAATGATACTTGAAACTTTACAACTTGATCCAATTATCACATATTTGGATGAGTTGTTTATGTAATCAGATTTGGATTTTGAAATCTGCATTCGATTAATAATAAAAACAAACAAAAAATTAAAAATGCATAAAATTTATAGAAAATTTTGGATGCATTATCAATAYCATTATCATCATCTAGAACTGTCACGTACACACTTACTAGCATAAAATAGCATTTACACATGTATACATTATATAGGAAATACATATATTTAAATATATGTAGATTGGACTGGGATGAAATGATTACCCCTAGTCTAAAGTGAGTATTTTTTTTTTTGAGAGTGGAGTTAACTATTCCCACATTTTTTTTCTTAGGGTGGAAAAAACCACACTCTCAACACTCTTCTTGAGAAAATAGGTAGCGACTTGTCTGAAGTAGAAGCCCTCTGATATGGGGTTTTCCTCTAGTATAATATTAGATGAGTTGGTCTTTAAGAGTTGCCAAACCATCTTCCTGTCACATCTCTGATTGCATTTAACAATAAATAAACAATTTTGATACACACAAAGATGCTTTTATTGAGCTCAACAATATATACCCGGTCGGTAAACTTGTTGAAAGAGATATTTGAGAACTTAATAACCATACAGTATTGTCAAAAACACACAAAATCTACCAAAGCACAGTGAAGAAGCACATCTATGATGCTTTAAGCCACATAATTAGGGTACTAACCAGCAAGTTCAACTTCTGCAATTTGAAGAGTTCTTTTGGACCAACACATAAAGTGCATTAAATGTATGCACCATTATTATGTCTTTCTTTTCACACAAGGGTGAAGTAAATATTATTATGACCATGACATGTATGTTTTACTATTGACTTAGCATTTGGCATTTGCTACCCTATAACTTTTGCTAAACCATCATCATCATCTAAGCCCCTGTTCCGACTATATGGGGTTAGTTGCATGAATCTTGTTTTCTCATTCCGTTCTGTTCAATGTGTTATATTCTTCATTAAAGTATGGGCACTTGAATCACTTCCATGCAATTCCTTTTGGCTCAGTTTGGAAGGAGTACAAATACAAATATGTACAGTGTAAATATATACAAAATATAAGATTTTGTACTCTGCATATTTGTATTTGTATTCCTTCTGAACTGAGCCTTTCATCCACCCTCTGCTATTTTAGCCCCTTTTATCACATTTATATTTCTGCTATTTTAGTGCATGTTACATTATACTTTGTTGAGAAGACCTAACCTGACCAAAACAAGGACTTGAGCTAGCAACCTTAGTGATATCAGCAGAACGCTGCTCTAATTAACCAACAATAGGCCATCTTAGGTAATCGTTACTTTAGATTTCTTGTGCACTGTCTTTAACTGTGCTTTTAGTTTGATGAAGCGCATACTTCGCTTTGTATTCACCAAGTATGCTGCTTGGTGAATACCCTTTTAACCATTTGAAGTTGATATAACGTAGCATAACCTCATGCACAGAATGTGATGGAGCATACAAGTAAAATATCTTTTTTTTTTGATGGATCATTCAAGTAAAATTGTTATTTCTATAAGTTCTCATTATGAACAAATAGATTCCTGTTTGCAGAAGAACCTAAACCAGGTCTTCTCTAAGTATCAAATCAATGCTCATGCTAAGATCCAGACGATAACCCTAATGTTTAATGAAATGGTGAAATTTGTTTATCTGTCAATCATGGAAGAAAAATGGAATTATGAAAGATTAAGGGGGAAGAAGAAGGTGCTGTATGGAAAAGAAATCAAACACTACCAATCAGCTATAGTTGTACTTGTTGATAAATGATGAGGCAAAGTAACTGATTTAGGGCTATCAAAACTGAAGGCATCAGCGGGCTCGTTGGTAAGGTCTCTGGTTGGTTGTAAAAGAGATTTGGGATTTGGGGTGGGGGTCATTTCTGTAGCCCATGAGCCAAAGGAGGGTGCTAAGAAATTTTAGATGTATTTATCCTTGCTGTTGCTTTACCTTGTGAGATGTGTTTTCCCAACTATATGGAGATGGGTTAGAATTTGCACTCACATTGTAATAAAGAAACATTTTGAGAGAGAAATTCATGGTCCAAGTGTGTACATCTTGGAAAAGAAATAACTTTAGAAATTTATGAAAGTAGATAGGTATTCTAAGAAACATGCCGAAAAGATGATGAATGAGTGGAACTTGAGATGGATGAGTGGAAAAACAAGAAAAGCTGGGATCAGAAACGAATCTATTCATAGGAACTTGGGAGCATGGTTTTCATTGACTCTGATGGTCAAATCGTTCATCCCAAAAACCATCCAGGCAACTAGTTTCATCTCACACTTAACCCGTTCATTTGCCAACCCATTGACTTAATCAGTGACCTGATGACCCGGGTGGTCAAACTGTCAACCCGTTTGACCCAAACAACGATTTTTGGCTGTTTTATTTTAATTAATTTTTTATTTTTATTTATTAAATTGCAACGAACCATCTGTTGAGACCAGATGGTTGGACCACTGACTCAGAAACTGGTGGTCAAAGCGGTTCTAGTTCCAGCTTGGTTTTTAAAACATTGATTGGGAGTGATTTGAATGGGTGGAGTTCAGAACTGTGCCCGACAAAGGGGCGCCCCACAATGCCCCACAGCACATCCCCACCTTGTATTGGGAACATCTCTCAATGACAAGTATGGAAATGATGAGATATCATCGGGAGAGGTTCCCAATACAAAGGTTGGGATGTGCTGTGAGGTATGGTGGGGTGCCCCTTGTGAGGCGCAGATGTGAACTCGAATGGGTCATATAAAATGAGGAAAAATAGGCTGAGATGGTTTGATTATAGAGAAGACCATTTATAGTTAGAATGAGAAGAAATCATCAGTTAAAGGGTCTAGAAGAGTTAGGGGCAGACCAAAAGGACATGGATTTAAGTAGTGAAATGGCGGAACAGGATTCATGTAGTCAGACCATATAATTGGAACAGGGCTTAGTTGAGGTGAGTTTGAGGCATGTCTGAGAAAACTCTGGCATTGATAATATTCAAAAGGAAATGGAAAATGTTAATTCTCAAACAATCTCCTAACTCAAGTGAGCTCAGAGTCAAAGCAATCAAATTTGTTCTAAGAAGCCATTAGCATGCATTTCTCATTTCCTCTTCTTTCTTTTGTAATGTATATCATAAGAAAAAACCTTGCAAATGTGATACAAGTTCAGCATTTCCTACAATTAAGTAAAAGAGAAAGAATTTGACAAAAATGAGTTAATGGATGAGCTAACAGGGTGAATCACGTAAGACATTAGGAATTATTATAATTAATCATTTTAAGTGTTAATGGCAACATAAATACACAAATTGCACCTTTCTTCTACTATTGCCAGACAAAGAAATACTAAGAAAGAAAATGAAGTAGAGAAAGTTTACGCATCTATCAACATCAAGGAGCCAACAAAAGAGAAACCACATTAACTATTAGGAGTAAATGACGAGTCCCATCCAGTCCAAAGATTAGTGGATAAACTATCACAATTCACAACAAAAACCCATATTGGCACACATTTCAATTTAATCCGGTTTGGAATAAGGTTCAAAGTATTGGTATGTATGAAATGCAAAAAGGGGGTTTTGCACATTTCTAAGCTATGATACCATTTTATTCTTTCAAAGACAAAGTTTTAAGGCTAGATTCTAATTATTAGACCTAGAACCCCCGCCACCCCCCTTCCAAATCTCTTTAAATGGTGCTTACATATGTGATGCGTTTCATACATGCTTTTTAAAATCGGATCAGACTGGACAGTCGGATTGAAAAAACTGGGAACTAGTCAGGTGATCGGTTTCGTTTTACCCTAGAATTATTATTCATCAAAAATCGTTAATTTAGTCAGCAAATCTCTGATCCGGGTGGTTGAATTATTCGAATCGTCCAATGGTTTTGGCTATTTTTTTTAATTTTTTTTAAATATTTTTAATTTTTTATTAAAATGAACCATCCATTCGGTTCAAATGGTTAAACCGTTCGACCTGGGAACCGGACCTGACCGGTTCATTGTTCAATTCGGTTTTAAAAACCTTGGTTTCATACGATATGAAATGATATATATTGCAATATTTTGATCTTTATTTAGAAATAATGTTAGGAACTTGTGTAAAGACCAAATCACCTAATAAAAATGTATCAATACATATCATACCGTATACAACACATGTTTTTTTCAGGTCACCAGTACTCCATAGTCCATACATTAAGAGATATTTGATTTTATTTGTTTTAAATGTTGTAAGTTGATGTGACATATGCATTAACAAAATGTCAGAACCAAAAATAATAAAAAGAAGAATTTTGCACATCGAAAGTATTGATGCGTTGAACCTTGGATTTTATTATTAAATTTTATATACAATAATGAGGCAATATTTATTATGTCAGAAAAGTATGATACCGGAATAACTTTGACCAAACAACCCCCCCTCCATTGATGAATTGCCATTTTTATGATTCCAGTTGATTGATTATAAATTTTTTTAGGCATTGTGCTTCTCTGGTATCATAATTGGACTCCAAGGATTATATAAAGTTTATAATCAACATTTTTTGGATAATTGAGTTTATAATCAATTTTATATTTATATAGATTTATCCCATATGCATTATAAGTTTATAATCATCATTATGCTTCAGATTTGGATAATTAGATGTAGTTGGATCAGATCCAAATCCAACCCAATTACAGCCCTAGATACAACCAGCATTTTTCACCATTTCTGAAAAATCATGGTGTAGACAATGTTGTTAAAGCACCACCGTAACACGTTTCTGTGGCTCACTATCTCCTGTTTTCTGTACAACACATTAACTTCTGTAGAGAATAAGCCTGCATACTTTTTTCTTTTCTTCTTGAGGCCACTTTTTGTCCTTTTAGTTTAAGCTATTTATATCTTGTATGGTTTTAACTTGTGAAGGGCATAACAGTCTTTTTCCATCATTCCTTTTGTAACCCCACGCATAAACTGAACAGAAGTGCAAATTTCTTTATTCTCATTTAATCCCATCCCTCAATATTTTCTCTTCTATTTTCTTGCCTCTGCTACTTCCTTTCAATCTATTTCTCTAGTATATTTACATACTACACAACTTAACAAAGAAAATACGGTAGGTTTTGATCTAAAAGAAAATTGTATGTAGAAGATTGGACGAGAATGAATTTCATTTTCTTTGAAACAGAGAAGCAATGCATGTACCGAATCCAAGTTCAACCTTGAAGCAAAAACTGACAAGGGAAAAAAGCAACACACCTGTTAGATTTTCTTGAAGCCATTTTGAATTCTTTGGGCTTATATGACTATCCCACCACCAAGAATACAGTCGTCTGGACTCGGCATGTAAAAGGGTTGCCATGACTCCTGCCAACACCACCAGTACTAACTCTTCTGATCTCACATGAGCCTGATCCTTGTACCAGTAATAAAAACCGGGAAAATGAATCCAAGCCAGAATTATGCTTAATTAAGTCTAAATATACCCGACTTGATAATGAAAAAATAGCTTGAAGCTTTGAACTTTACTCCTTGTACCTAAACAGAGGAAATCTGCAAAAGAAGAGTGATAAAGAAAAGGATGAGTTATAGACAAATCAGCTGTAGACTGTAGTACCAATAATACAGATGAAACTAGCTACTCGAGATCATGTCAAAATGGTGGGAGATCAGGAACTTCATTTTAAGCATGCAAACTACACAACGGGTCAGTCTCTAGGGGACCTTGAGATTAAAGAACCCAGAAAAGCTATAATGTGCCAGTAACTTAATTAACAAACTTCCTGAATCTGCAATAACTCAGAATTACTTGATTCAGGCAAAAACCAGGAACCAACACGCAAATTACTCTTTCATCTAACATGATCACTCAATGTCCAGTAAAATTCGGAGCACCCAAAAATCCAAACCTTCTACACATTATAACTAGCTGATAAAACAATGCCTACATCAGAAAACCAGCACAAATGACTCAAGAAGCATGAACCCAGAAATAGTAAGCGTACTGTTTGGAGCCCCATTAATACAAAAACACAAAAGAAGAGGTTGAAGAACTGGTTTTAAGTAAAAGAACATGGAAAACATGCTCTTTCTGCCACTAACAAGATCAATAGCTTACCAGAAAATCAAAACAGGCAATGCTGCTTTGATCAGCAGCTGTGTTAAAAAGATCCTCAGCTGCTTTTTCTCCACTTACCCCATTTCGCCAGATTCCTGTGTTCTCTCCCTCCCTCTCTTTCACTCTCCGTCTCTCTATCTCTCACTCTCTGTTTTGCTTTGCTTTATATTCTGTGTCTTGTGACCGTTTGTAGACTGTCGAACTCTGTCAAAAAGAGTAAAGGAAAACAGGGAACAGGAAGGAGAGCGAAGTGTTAAAGGAAGAAGATTTGCTTATTTATACATAACCAAAGAACAAAGAAAAAAAAGGAGACAAATGCTGAAACTCTTTCTATTTTTCTCAGAATGAACGTGCTTACCTAAGAACCATATATAAACCGCCGGATTATACAAAAAAAATCCATAAACCGTCGGACTGAAACTATGGGTGTCGCTTAATCCGGTCAGGTTCGAATCTCGTGCCCTCCAAAACACGTGGTTCCTGGATTATTTTTCCAGATTTTTGGCTCTGTTAATTAATGAAAACAAAGTTTATATTAACACCTCAAGCTGTGTTCATAGACTATAATCGCATTTGTGATCACTAATCCCACTTTGCTCAAGCACAAACAAATTCTACTTGTGCTTTTCGGGGTTCGCTGGCTTTTTGTCGCTGCTCTGTTTATGTGTCAGCGACTGTTTCTTGGAACTAAAAAACAAAATTACGAAACTAGCCTTAGCTTAGAATCTCGACATTGTTTTTTCTCGGGCGGTTGACTGGGAGTAGTTGCACTTGTTTTCTCCTTTCTGATAGATAAACCAAATTACTTAAATTACCAAACAACTGACAAATTACTTAAATTACTAAGGTCCTCTTCGACCGTTTGATATTCTGTCAAACAAAACTAAAAAAACGTGAAAGGATAAGTTTGACCAAGTCAACCATTTTCGGTTCTGGCGACGGGTGGCAATTGTGCGGAGCTATCCGCTAATCTATTAATGATACAGTTATATAAAATTAAATGGGTTGGGTTCAACCCAAACCCGTTTTAACTCAATCCAATTCATCTAAACCCATTAATCTTATATTTATGGACATAAAAAACAAACTAATTCTTTCTTAACAAATAAGTTGGTCATAACTTGGTGGTAATAGTACTTATTATTTATATAAGTGATGAAGGTTCAAATTTCATTACATGCATGTTATTTTTACACAAGTGGCGGAGCCATTTGACTATGTTCGGATTTTGGGTTTGATCGAACCACTTTGGTTCAAATCGGTCAGACCAACTTGAACTATCTAATTGGATTATATTTGAGCTAATCACATCAATGGTGGTTGAACCGTTTAATTTTGGATCGGGTCAGTCCGGTTTCAATTTGGGTTGTGTGGATATTGTCAGACCAAACGGTTCAGACCGGGACAAAGCATGCAAACACCGAATCATCCAATCTGGAACCATTTCGAATTCGAGTCAAACCAAATCAGCTTGTATCAGGTCGGGTCAGGCTGTGTGAATACTAGTTGGACTGAACGACCCAAACTAGGCAAAGCAAGTGATATCGAATCATCCCGCCCGAGGTCTATTTTGGATTCGGGTCGACCTAGATCAGTATATGTTGGATTGGGTTAGACCGCATTGAACTAGTCCGGACTCGGGTCAAATTGATTTGGATTTATGTTGGTAAAGTGTGTTGATTTAAGACAAAACTAAATTTATTCAATAATTAATAGAAAATTAATGCATTAATTATAAATTATTTAATTCAAATGAAGAAAATTTAAAAAAGAAAAGGATAAAGAATTAATACTTACGTTTGTAATGGTTAACCTAATGGTTATCCACAACCCAACCCATTTAAATGGGCGAATTGGGTGATGGGTTAATCACATAACCTGCCAAATAAATGAGCGGATTGGGTGAATTAGATATGGGGTGGCTTGGGTGGGTTCAGCAGATTGGGAGAAAAATTGCCACCCCTATTTCTAGCATTCCAATTGAGATATTAGTGATGATATTATGAAAATAATAAATAAATTTGCTACTAACAATGTCTTCAATGTGTCTCTACCCGCACATTTCAAACACATTTTGTATTTGTATGTTGTCATTGATTAATGGTCATTCTTGTAAAACCACAACCATTTTGCTATAATAATGTAGGAATCTTTGTTGGTAGTGTTTTATTGGTAGTTATTAGATTCAATCTGAGTTAGTCTTTATTTTGCATTTATATGCTGTCATTGGTTAGGCTATACTTGTGAAACCACAACCATTTTGAGATGTGAGCCTATAAATGGTGTTGGAAGCTTTGTTGGTAGTGTGTGAATGGTAGTTATTGGGACTCAATTTTTTAGATAGTCTTTATTTTGTATTTATACGCTGTCATTAATTAGGTTATACTTGTGAAACCACAACCATTTTGAGATGTGAGACTATGAATCGTGTTGGAAGCTTAAGTGTTTTATTGGTAGTTATTCAGACTCAATCTGAACTAGTCTTTATTTCTTATTTGCATATTGTCATTGATTAGGTTATACTTGTGAAACCACAACCATTTTGAGAGATGCGATTATAAATCATGTTGGTAGTTATTCAGACTAAATCTGAGCTAGTCTTTATTTCGTATTTGCATATTGTCATTGATTAGGTCATACTTGTAAAACCACAACCATTTTGAGATATGCGACTCTAAATCATGTTGGCATTCATGTTGGAAGCTCTGTTGGTAGTGTATTATTGGTACTTATCAGACTCAATCTGAGCTAGTCTTCAATTCTTATATTTTAATCGAAGATTTTTTACACAAAAAAAAAAAAACAAATTTAAAAAAGGTATTTGACAATATAATCGAATCTGTTTTTAAAAGCAAAAGCAAACTGCCACATCAACAAAAACGATAAAATTGAATCGATTTTTTTTTTCTGAATAATTGGAAAGTAAAAATGAAAATTCCATTATCATAGATTTTCCCTTCTGAATGGTACCTACAATTTATAAGGTTCATTTGATCAAAAGATCTTCCACTATTTGTTTGAAAATGGTACCTAAATTAAGTACCACATACGAACAACATATGTAGTAGTAGTGCCCACAGCCCACAGAATGGCCATTGAGTGTTTTGGTAATAAATTGGGTTTAGGGGGTGCAGGATCCGTAAGTCATCATGGAGCTGTCCCGGAACTCAGTCATGTGTTGCGTGATCAGATGATGAAAACCCACCAGTGAATGGGTCCCATTCCCATCCAACTCCAAGTGATAAATTTTGGGTAGTAAAATATTTGTTTTCCAAATCCGAACAAGCACCAATGTGATTAAATAATTTAAATTCGGCGACCCCACCAGACCCATTTAAGGGTCCGACAGCCCTGAACCCGCATTGAAAGCTCAAGCTCTGGGTTTGAGTTGGCCTTGCGATATCAAGATAACAGGATTACAGCTTGCTTGCTCGATCGCAAATAGCAAGGAAGCCTGGTTTGTGGTTGGCACACAAACATGAGAATGCGAGTTGGATTCTGACAAGTGAGAGAGCAGCGAGAAGATCGTACTGAAGACCCGGATAACCGGAACAAAGTTTTAGCCCAGTTTACTATACCTCTGCAGGGAGGGACTGTCCGTGTTTCAAGAGTCCCAAACCCAATCAAATCAAAATGAAAAAACAGAAGTAGAGCTGCCGTTTGTCGTCATCGGATTCGCATAGTTGAAGAGTCCTGTATTGCTTCTTAAGTCACACCAATCGTCCTTTGCTAAAGATTTGATTCCAAGTTGGTATTGACTTGGCCTGGTCGTGTTGAGGCTGAGAGAGCAGATTTTGGTAATTGGTGGTGGTTTCATCAGAATCCGCGGTTATTTCATTAACCAGGGAAGACTGGAGAGGTCTAAGATCATACTTTCGTTGCAAATACAGAACCCACCCTGTTTTTCGTAATTATATATTACTTTTAAGTTTCAACAACAAAGATGCCTCGGATAGCTTATTAAGCTTTTTAATTTTTGGAGCTGCTTAGGTCATGTCTTACATGGGTTATTACCATTACCAAAACCAAAACATAATTTAATTTATATAGATGGTCATGTCCTAAACTATTAAGTATTATTAACTCGTGGGGAGATTCAGTATTAATTAGTTATACACGGCATATGAGCTGAGAAAACAAGAAGAATGAGAAAGTTGGGTACCCGTGCCGTTTGGTTTATTAAAAAACAAGAAGAATGAGAAAGTTGGGTCCGGTTTGGTTTAGTGTCCAATTGAGAGATCAAGGCTTTCATAGCGTTATATGAGCTGAAAAACCTGAAATGTGGTGTGGTGAAATTTTATATTCGGTAAAACTCCCAAAAGCTGAAAATAGACTTACATGATGAGCTGCAAAATCAACTTTTCGATAATAAAGTTCAATCAACGAAGAAACCCTCCCAAACAAGCTCTTATTTTGCGATCAACCAAACACAGTGTGATCTGGTCTTTAGGTTCATCATTCAACTTAAACCTTCTAAATTTTAAAGGCGGGCACTGGRCAGCAGCGCCTGGGCGGTGGCGCCGGTCATCAATACCAATTAAGAAATTCCAATGTAGGAGACAAACTGAATGAATAGTTGAGTTGATGACCATTCCCTTCTTAAAAAATTAATRTAAAAATTTAATTAATTAGATCATAACTGAAGAATATGGGAAGTGTTGTTCACGTGAGTAATTAATTAAATTTCTAATGAATAAATGATAATCGAATTGTGGACTAACGATTAAGATGGCTCAATCACCTTGGCCCATTGGGCCCTCCAAATAAGCTAGCCCCATTAACGCAACTGAATCATTACTACCATACTATGTATAATTGGGAATTGGGATGATTCCCATAGTACTAATTTTTAAAACTTGATTAAGTGGGATAACCACGAGATCTTCTCATTTTTATTAAGTCAACTGAGAATTTTCTCACTTTTTTTCCCTCCTAATCAACGCTCAGACATAAGCTACCCGTATAAGCTATGGGCCCAAAAGAATAGCTTGATCAGGATCCGGGTCAAAGCTTCTGTCTATCTGTATTTTCTGGTAAAATCCTGGCCGCAGTTGTCTGGTTCTGGTACGTAATTTGTTTGTTACCCAAATTTTGCCCTGAATGTAAGGGGAACTATAGCCTCGTTTGGCTACAAACTTGGCTGCACTCTCTGGCCGTTCACGGGTGCAACTCCATCTCCAATATGGCATACAAATCAAACAATTTTGACCAATCATATCCATCAATCATCGCTCACATTCCAATTGTTTGGACATGGACTCTACTGTTATGAGAACCGTTCAGATCTAAAGGATTCTGCTTATCAGTTCTGGGTCCAAATATGAG